CAACCTTAACGATTCTGTGATTCTGTGAATCAGCACTGCAGGCAGAGGCAACAGTGCTCTGCATCTCCACAGCATGCTCCATGCTGTCTCCACCACCCCTTGTCAAAAACCAGTCCCTTTTAGCAGGGTGACATCGGCGAGCTGGGGTGCCGCTGGGCTCATGTCCCTCGCCACAGCCCCATTGCTGGTGTCTCCCGCTCAGGCCTCGGCGGGCACCCATGACGTGCTGAGGACGCCACGCTGAACTGCCCCGGCCCTGGGGGTGAGCCCCGGGCACCCCCGGTCTCCTCCCGGCGCATGTAGAAAAACGTAAGGCTGGCCCTGGCCCTGCACGCATCCCCTCTACGCGATGGCTGCCCGGCCCAGCGCCGCGTGGTGGAAACAAGTTGACGAAGGAAAAGAATAAAAAGGCGGGGGGGAAGACAAAAAAAAGACTCTTCCCTTTTTTGGGGAAGTGTATTTGGAATCAGTCTATTTCCCTTTCACCTCCTGTTACTCAATACCTGTTTTCTCCAACCTACCGATGACATTTTATTCCTCCCCAACCATGAAGTATCTTCTGAGGGGCGGGTGTAGTACAGAAGAGGGCCCCGGGGGTACAAAATGCGGGCTGCCGGTAGACTCCAGCGGGTCTTCAATGAAACGCCGCGGTCCGGAGTTGGGGACAGCCCAGCCGCGTTTGCTCGGTCAGTCCCCTACGGCCGTTCTTACGCCGGCGTTTGTTCCCTTTGGCCTGCAGGCCCCCAAGGAGACCCTGGCCAAAGCTGTGCTGGCGGAGCTGCCCCAGCAAGTCGTGCAGTACTTCAAGCACCAAAACCTGCCGCCCATCAACTCGGAGCCCGCCTAGAGCTGTGCCAGGCTGCGCCCGCTGCATGTTGCCGAAGCCTCTTGGTCCTACCCAAAGCATGTTCCACGTGCTTTGAAGAGAAGAATACCCTCCCTGAAACACTTTGTACTTCCTAATTTAATTGCTACGTTCTTAAAAGTCATCCCAGAGAAGTGTCTGGATTCATTTTGTACATTCATTTTGTTCATTTTGTACAGTCCCAGCCCGAGGTAACACTAAGGGGCCAGGCCATGCCCCCCGGTCCTGCTCTGTTGAGTCATTTTTCAGTATTGAATGTACTTTGTATAATTTCAGTGGAACGGGATTAAATTTTTACAGTCAAAACTTGCTTTTTCCAAGCAATGAAATGCTTAATATATTATTATCATTCAATGAACTGGTCAATTGTATAGTTCATGTAGCTGTGTTGTACCTGTACATCTGTCACGCTCAGTGTTCATTTTTATACTGTGTACATGTTATATTTGTTATACTCAGGTTAATAAAGAAACTTGGACATTTAAAACAAACGTCTCCTAGAAGGGAAGGTCTGGGAGCGTGGTCCAGCGGTGAGGGGGTCTTCGAGTCACCCAGCCGCTCACCCGAGCGTTTCTGCTCGCCGTGCCGCGGGATCAGCCCCGGGCCATCAACGGCAGCGTGCCGGAGGGTGATTGACTGAGGGCGGAGGTGAATACGGATGTCCCATTGAGGGCAGCATCCCCTCACTCGCCCCCGTCTGCTCTCGGCGCCTGCCCGAGCCGAGGGCAAGGGGCTGGTGTCTGTGTGCACACGCGTGTGCTCGGGAGAACACCAGTGAACCCACAACAAACCAGCAAAGGGAGCTTCGTGGTTCACTGCTGCTTCATCTCCAGAACCTTTTCCAAGTCTGGGTAACAAAAGCTCCCTGCTGCCTGGGAGGAGATGGGCTGGGTGATGAAATCCTGCTCTCCAGCAGCTCGTCAGCAATGTGCTATCTTCAGTGCTAATTGCTGCTTTCTTCCGCCATTAACTAGATTAAGGTCTTTTGAAGCTGGCAGGTCCAAAGCCGAATATACTGCGGGGATCACCAGCCTCACTCCAAACCGAAGCAGACTTGACTTGACAGACTTCTCCCCGCTAGCGAAAGCCCTTGCAGTGGGAGGTTGGTGTCTCTCCAGGTGAAGCCTGGAGGCCATTTGCACGTGCATGCTACTGGCTGTGCTCATTGCCACCGACCACCGCTAGCAATCGCGCGGTTGGCACCGCTGACGCTGAGCCACCAGCTGCCCCGAGCAGCCCCACGGCTCGGCCGAAGCCTGGAGCCTAAGCTGACGGTGAGGCCCGAAGCGTGGGTCTGGGTGACGACCCATCCCTCCGGAGAGGTGGGACTGCTCCATGAAGGGCTTGCCTTGCAAAGCCCCCCGGAAGGGGAAAAAAACAACCACCACCACCCTTTTCCACATGGAGAAGCAGCCTTTGAAGGGTGGCTCATTTAAAAATAATGCTGTATACAGCTCAGCTTCCAGATCAAAGTCTGTTGCTCTGGAAAATTTGGGGGTTTTTTTCTTTCCAGAAGAGAACTTCACATGCAGCTGCACTAGCTAGTAAGCTCTTCTGCTAGTCGAGTGTTTGTGGGGGTTTGTCTTTTTTTTTAACACCTCTCTGAAGCTTTAACAACTAAGCACAGACAACAAGCGGTTTATGAAGCTGTCCCTGGGGAGGGGATGAAGCACACGCTATGCAGCGATGGCAAAGAGAGAACCGTCTTTAAAAACAAACAAAACAAAACAAGAATCTAAATCTGCCACTAAATGACAGAGCTGCCGGAGCCAGCCGTTCTTCTCCAGCACGTCTGCCCTGGGGCAAGGTTACTGCCACAGATGCTGTTCCAAGAAGGTCTGATTTACCCTCCATCCCTTGCACTCTTCATGTCCCAGCTCGTCCCTCAGTGCACTGAAGTTATTTTAATGTCAGATGACTTGAGACTGCAAGAAGGTAAACGGGACCAACGGATGGAGTGACGAGCCGGGACAGCTCTGCAGTTTGTTTACACGGGCCAGGCCATGAGAACAGCAGAGGTGACTCAGACCCAAAGGCTTGCAGGAGCTAAAGGCGTTCCCCAAGTACCCTACTCCTGCTCTTCTGGGAAGAAGAGGAAAGCAGGGGGGCTCTCACGCCTGCTTTTACTGAATTACATCTTCTCCTGGCCTTGCGTGGTCCGACGTATCCAGCAGCACCATGTCCTGGCCTCACCCGCAGCCCCCGTGGACGACCACCACCACCATGTCTGCCCACAACTTGCTGCCAAATCCCATTATAAATTTCAGTCTAAATCAGCCATTTTGACTGCAGTTGCACAAAATATCACTCAGGAAAATGGCCCCAGCATGCTCACAGCCAGGCCTGGCTGTTCTGACTCTATAGAGAGATTATTGATCTAGCTTAATGCTGGGGAAGGACACCTACATCTCTCCTCCAACTGCTCAAGGCTCTTGCAAATGCAGCTTTCAAGAAAAACAGGCATTTTTTGGTGTACCGCTTCCATTTCACTCCACAGCTAAGTACGATGAAAGTCATCAAAAGGCAAGCATTAGGGAGGCAGCAAGAGATCTAGCTATTTTCCACCTGAAAGCGCCATAATTACAGTAGCTAGAGAAGAGGCAGGAACAACTCTGGAGCAAACCCAAGAGGTGCCAGGCAGCCCAGAACAGAGGAAGAATTACAGCGTGTTTGTAAAGATTCCATTGTGGAACAGGGTCATGCAAACTGAAAGGGAATTTGGCCAAGGATAGCTTCCGTGTGAGCGTAACTCTCCCAAAGGAAATGAGGAGAGTTCAACACTCAAGCTAAGAGACGAATCCTACTAAAGGCCTGCAGGTTTCACTGCTTTTATCCCAGCCGCTCTCTTACACGTTGCTTGGCGCCACGTTCAGATCACTGCCCTTTGGCACGCACATAGAAGTGCACGTACTTCGGAGTGCAGTACATAGAGCAGGACTGCTGCGAGGGAGGCTGTCACAAAGACATTTTCACCTCCGAGCAGCTGAGCTGAGCTGTTCCAACCCCACAACCTCCCATCAGCGATGTTGGCACACAGGGGCAGAAAGGACAGGCCCTCGGCTTTCGTAGCCTGCTTCTCACTCATGCCTGGCTCCCTGGTCCACATCACCCATAAACATGCCCATGTAAGGCTTCTTAAGTCCAATACAACTTCAACAACCACCAGCTACAAAGGATGGTGGAGTTCTCCAGCTTCTGCCCAAAGAGATTTGGCTGAACCGGGGTATCCAGTTCAAAGGTGTTCAAAAAAACATGTAGACATGGCACTTCGGGAGGTACTTTAGTGGGCATGGTGGTGTTGGGTCAATGGTTGGACTTGATGATCTTAAAGGTCTTTTCCAACCCTCATGATTTTATGATTCTATGATCCCCCACACTCTGGATTCACGCTCTTCAGGACACTGCTGCAGAATGGCTGAATGACTTGTCAAGTGCCAGTGCAGGAGCAATGGCCTTTGAGCAGAACAGCCAACTGCAGCTCCTTTGAACTCACTCAGAACAAGAGTTTTCCACCACCATCTCTGCATTTGTAGGAGGCTGGCTTGCACTTCTCCTGGACGGCAGTTTGAGGAAGGGGCTGGCTGGCTAGAGGAGAAACTGCTTAATGGAATGGGAACAATTATGAATGGCACAAGCAGAGATAACAAAATGCATTCAGAATGTCTTTAATCATGTAACACTAAAACTTCTTTACAGTGTCATGGCAATCTACACTTCACCATCTGCTTGATTTTTGTTCTGCCCCCATTTCTCAAATACAGAATAAAAATGACATTTTAAAACAGAACACATGGCTGTTTCTACAAGACTGCACTGTTTCAAGTGAGTATTTTTTGCCTGTTAGTCTTGTATAAACTTCGATCACCAGAATTCTTTCCTTCCGTAAGCATTTTAAAAGATAAAGCTCTCTCCTTCTTATCCTCAGACCTTCATTACATTACTAGATGTGCCTTCTGGTTTAGGATGGCAGCCTTTCTTCCAGGCTCAGTATGCACCCCAGAAATGGAAAGTTGGGGGAAAAGTAAAAAAAAAAAAAAAAAAGAGAGATATAATGAGTTATTTCAGGAGTATCTGAGTGTATTAAAGTTGAGACGTTAGCTAGAAAGATTATATTTGGGGCAGAAGGATGCATCAAGCATCCATCAGGGCTTTGGAAGATACTCTGCACTACATTACACACGGAGGGATTTCGTTATGGACCATCAAAGAAACTGTTGCTACGAAAGACAGAAGAGACAATCTTTCCAGTGGAATTAATAGTGCCTTCGCTATCCGAGCTGGACTCCGAATCACTGCTTCCCGAGTAGGCGCCCAGGCCAGGCAGGATCCCAATGCACACGGCTGCTGGGGGACAGTGGACCGTGGAGCCTCCCACTGAGCTGCTCCCCAAGGGGACACAGGATGGTTTTTCTGAAAGAAAGGTACCTCAGTCAAAAATGAGAGCGCAGGAAAGGGCTTTTATTCAGCCCAGGAACTGCCATCATTCACCTGCTATTGCCACATCAGTGGTGGATGATTGCAGCATTTAATTAAAGCATAAGGCAGCTTTACGCTACAATAAAGCTATTCTGACAGGAAGGACTTGCAACCTCAGGTGATTTTTTTTTCCCTCATCACTAGTTTAAGCCCAACTCTATGCTGGCATTACAGATTTTTATTCTAAAGCTGTCAGTTTGATGCCTGTCAAATACCAAACCCACTAAATAAGAATAAATAGCTCCGCTTTGTGTAAATTAATTTTTTTTTTGTGATATAACAGCATAGTTGGAGAAAAGTTTTATTCCATTGCTCTGCTAGTCAACATCTCCCATCTTCCACGGCTAATTAATTACTTCCAGTGTTCTGAAAGTTTACTGAACAGAAGGAGATTCAGGAAGCGCCTCGGGTTGTCATTACACAATTGCAGCTCACCCTGTTTGTGTCAGGGTATCTTGACAGGAAGTCAACTGCAGACCTGACAGCTAAGACTGAAACACAACTTAATTTTTCTTCTAGTTCCCCATAATTTTCAGAAACAAATTGGTTTCAGGATGGACGAGATCACTTCATAGCATGAAAAGCTAATAGCGGAGGTATACAAATACGTCAAATGCTGCTGTGAAGAGGAAAGGGATGATCTGTTCTCCATGCCTCCTGTTGACAGGACAAGCACTAGGCTTGAAATGCAGCTATGGAGACTCCTATTAGTTATCAGGTAAAACTCTAAGGGTAAAATCAGTTAAACATTAGAATAAACTGCCTAAGGAGGGTACACAATCTCTATCTGGGGAGATTTAAGAGCAGCTTAGACAAACATCTGTCAGGAATGGTTTAGGCAGGGGATAGGGTGAGGACCTGTAGAGGATCCCTCCAGCCCTACTTCCTACACAGGCTGTCAGCACCTATAGTTACCATTTCTACTGCTTTAAGAGAGAACATGCCAACCACAGTCTGTGCTGTCTTGCATAATGAAGGAGCAGAAAAGCAATTCTCTATCAGATTTAACACCAAGTCAGTTGCTGTTCAGGTGAGAGACAGACAGCTTCCCACATACAGAAATCAGGACATACCTTGATTCTTTTCATCATGATCAGTATCTAGTTTCAATCTCTTCACACTGTTACCGCCATCTGAACTGTGGAAAAAAGAAGAAAGTGTCTTGTTCCTCATAAGCTACTAAATTACCATGAAGTTAAAGTCACATCTTTGCCTCAAACGCTACAGCAAATGCCAGCAGGGTCTCCTGATGATCACCACCACTAACCGCTGTTAACTGGGGCTCCTGAGGGAACATGCAGGACCCTAGAAAGAGTCACCGCCTACACTGCAAGTATCACCTGTTAACCTGCGAAACAGAAACACGCCTCTGAGAATCCAAGCCAGACCTCTTAGACAGTAACCCTGAGCTGCCTAATCAGCTGGAAGTACCCCACAGGAGATCAGGAATAACTACCTGAGCTTCAGCCACCCCACAGAACAACCACAGGCTTGCCCATGGAACAGGTTCCCCAGAGAGGTGGTACATGGCCTGTCCCTGGGAACATTCCAGGTCAGGTTGGACGGGGCTCTGAGCACTCTGATCTAGTTGAAAATGTCCCTGCTTATTGCAGGGGGTTGGACTAGATGGCCTTTAAAGGTGCCTTCCAACCCAAACCATTCTATGGTTCCATGTGGATGATTACCACGCTTGATGGTGCAACATCGGTGTCTTCCAGGGTTTCATTCCCCTCTTTCAAACACCTAGGGAGCCTATTCGAAAACATCTAGAGATCTTGCACCCTGTAAGAAGCCCAGTAGGTTTTACAGCAATTCACACACAGCTGCAGTGTCTGAACTAAAAAAGAAAGGGGTCCTTTTCTGGGTCCAAAGTAGTGGTGGGGGAAAGCAGTGTTACTTGGACTTCTGACTCTTCAGAACTTCTATAGCTCTGAATTGTCACTGATTAGTTTCTTTTTCCCCCTCTTGCTTGTTCCCAATCCTAAGCCATCCACATAAACAAATACTTCCCAGCTTCAGCTGTGATGAACTAAAGTGATGAAGTATGAGAATTTTTATGCATTAACTCTTCTGTCCCTGTCAGAGCATGCAGTACAGATGAAAGGTTATTCTATGTGGGGAGGTTTTAACAATAATACATCCTTTACAGGAAAGTACAAAGCTCAGAGAGTAGACATTGAACTCGTACTACACTTGGTTTTGGATAGTTTGCAATAAAAGATAAGATGGCAAAAATAGAAGACTGCACAGCAAGTCTGTGATGGCACTGACATGTCAGTTAAAATGCTCCCTTCAAAAAGATGCCATCTGCAGACTTTAGATCTGCCACTAAGCACATGCCAGCGCCTTCTCTACAATATACTGGGTTAAGTGCTAGTAGCTACAAGACAAAAACCACATTGTTGGCTGCTTGTTATCAGTCCAGGGTTTCTCTTCTCTGCACTCCAAAAATCCAAACAACTACCTAACCCCCTGCCACATTAGGTGGTGGAAGTGCTTACTTCAGTTTCCAGACGTGCAACTACTGCTGTACTGGTAGCTAAACATCACCTTACAAGATAAGCTTCTAAAATAATCTCTCACTCCCTGGGACAGATTCAGAAACACTGACTGAACTTCTACATGTGAATAATGATCTATATTAGACATATTAGACGACTCATCTGTGGTGAATGGCTGGTTCCACATGCCTAGTTTCTCCGTGACCTGTAGCACACCCAGCAGCTGCGTTTGCAGGCCAAGATCAAAACAGCAAACACAACACAAACCCAGCTGCCATTTCCCTGGGATGGAAAGGGTGTTGATGTATCTGTGCAAATCAGCTAGGAACAAGGAAAGTTTGCCTGATGCCCTGAGGATCAAACTGGTACACAAATCTCTTCTCTCATATCCCATGTCTCCCCTATGCTGCCTCCCAGTAGCAATTAAAACAATCCTTTTTAGACACAGATAAAATCAGCTGATAAATTATGCAAACCGGAATGAAATCACATGAGTGAGGTGACACCAATATCTACAAATAGAGATGTAAAACAGATTTCCTCTAGATCCCCAAGCAGGATTGCCCAAGCCTGGAAGTCTAGAATGAAGAGTCTACCCACTTGCTTTACACATGCTTATCTATTTGAATTGCTTCATGTTTTTCCCCACAGTTTGTAAGAGCCTATAGAAACAAGGCTGGTCTTTTCTTATACCTCCCCCCTTTTTTCTTTAGGGCTAAGGTTCACACCTCACTCTCTGGAGGCAGTTTTGGCCTGCCTCGCTTTACACTGCTAACTGGGTTCCATTCCTCATGAATTTATAGAGGTGTGAAACTAACCTTCTGTGCTTCACAGCTCCTGCCAACAGCTTTGCCTGAGAGAATTTGTTCTTGTTTTCCACTGACTTCATGGGCAATTTCTTCTCAGTTTCCTTCTTTGGGTCCATACTGACTCCCACTTTGGTGAGAGTGCTGTGAATTAAGGGTTAAGGATCAACCAGGAAGGAATAGAGAGAACAGACACTTCCTCTCTGATATATTTAGCCAGCTCTGCTGACAGCAGCGAGTGAAGTTCATTCACATATTCTATCAAAACAAACTTATTTGTAATGACATTTAGCTGGCATCTTTGGCCAAAACAGCAGAGCCTTCAGCCTCTGGGTTCAGAGCTCTCTCGGGTGTCAATACCAGCTCTCCCTGTAAAGACATCCAGGCAGCAGACTAGGAGCTGCTTCTCCGAAGTTCGAAAGGCACAATGCACGACACATCCAGCACCCATAAACATATCCATCATCCTTTTCCTAAGGGTCTTAGAAAAGCAGAAAGGTCAGACTGGACCAAAATAAATAGAGAGATACATCCCCCTTCTATGGGGATCAACACATTTCTAGTTCAAATTCACTGCTTCAACCCCTAATCCTTACCAAAAAAAATAAGTAGGAATATGTGGGCTCACTTCTACTCCTCAAACCCTCTTTTTGCTGAGCCCAGCAAACTTCAGCCTACCAAAGCAAAACAGTTCAATTGTCTGTTTTGGTATTTACCAGTCGTAACTTTTCATCTCATCTCTCTGTAAGGGCCACAAGGCTATTACTGCCAGTTTGAACACCAACCCCAAGAGGAAGGAGACAGATCTGATGAAGGGTCCATGTGGTCCAAGATTCACCCAAAAAGGCTGCGACTGCACAGAAAAATTAAGTAGCTTAAAACAGTGTTAGCAAGGTGGGATCCAGCTGAAACCTATAATGATGTGGAGAAGCCTAAGCAGGTTCTCAGACAGGATAAGGAGGAGCTTGGTCTGTTATTAAGGCACACTCGCTCTGCACACACACTGAGCAGGTCTCCTTCTGTGGCAGGATCTAGTCCTGTGCCTGAGAACAGTTCATGTCCAGCTGTACCTGATGAAGCAAGGTCCATTTGTTAATGAGCTACTAGTGGAGTCACAAAAGTTTCTGCAAAACTTTTAAACCACAGGTAGAAAAGGCACATCTCATTTAAAAGGGTATTTGTTTATAACCCTAAATCTGGCTTTCTACCAGTCTCTTCTTCGACTATGATTCCACTGATCAGGTGACATACCCACAAGGTGGAGCTCCACACGTGCCCCAGTTATTGCAGATGAATATTGCATAGTGAGTTTCATATTGATGGACCATGTATTTGCAGTCATAGGGTTTGTTTCCTCCACTGAACACCTGTAAAACAAAACCTCTTACACCTTCCTTTGAAGCGACACACTCAAAGTCTCCAATCACTTTACAATTAGGAGTGTTCAGATGCCATTCCTTATTTTATTTTCCTAAGGATACAGCAGTAACCCAGACTGCTCCCTGCCTCAACTGAAAGTCTTCTCAGTCAAAACCAGACTGTTCAATTTTATTTATTTTTTTAAGATGGCACAGGAGTGCCATCCCGTGGCTATCAGAAGCAATTTGAAAGCTCATTGTCAAATATGGTTTAATGTTGCAACACACAACACCACAAACTGCAGTGTTCAGCTTCCACATTTACGTTCATTACCTTGTTATATTCCAGTACTGCGCTACAAAAGCCCGGCTGAGGCACTCAAATATTTTTCTTTTAAAAGATACCAAATTACAGGCTTTTCACTCCTATCCAGGCTGCCATTCTCTTAACACTCCTCAAGTAGCAGAGACATAGCACATTTTAAACAGAGATTTTATATGTACTGCTGTCGTTAGCAAATATAACACTATACCTAGCCAAGAAGTGTCCTCTCTCTGGAAGACTACATTAGAAATAAACCTCTCAAATATCAACTGCATTAAAAAAGCTGTCCTACAGTAAAACCTGCTTCTTGGAGAGGGACCTCTCCCGCATTTACACAGGATTTAAGACAAGAGGATGTTGTTCTTGAACACTTCTTGGAACTGGCTTAAAAAAAAAAAAAAAAAAAAAAAAAAATCTGCAAATCTTTAAACACTGTCAGACCAGTGGGATCTGGACAGGGTAAGGAGCAAAAAAACCCTAGTTGTTCGTGTAGGAGGAAGTGAAATTCCTATGCATCCATGCATATGAATTGCTTATGCTCGAGAGCACATTAACATATTCCAAGGCACATTTATCCTTAAGATATGATTCCATGATTGTTCAACCTAAAAAAATGAAGAAAATAAGAAAGAAAAAAAAGCTCTGTACTTGAATACTGACGTAGGTTTTACCATTAAATTAATGCCTCTGGGTAGCTTAAATTGGATGTTATACCACAAAAAACACCAAATAATCAAACCCGGTGCATTGACATTCCTCTTATTAGTTCAGAAGAGCACTTGAACAGTTCCTATAGAACCAGCATATTTACCTAGTACCCACTGGTTTTTGTCACTGTAGTGATAAACCACTAGTAACAACCTGCAGATACAAAAATATCTTTTGCATTTTAAAAGAATACCACCTTGCTCTGAGGTTGCTTGAAATATTATGGTTAAATAAAAAAAATTAAAAATAAAAAAAGAAAACTGAATGGGCAAAACCTCTCAGTTTCTCATGAGGTGACTATAAAACATTGTCTTTCCCCCCACCCCATCAGCAATATATTCTACAGTTTAATTCACAGCAAGATTTCAAACATAGAGCCAGATGATATTATTAAGACTGTAAAGACTGAAGTTAGATGTGCCTGTACGTCTTGAACAGGCTCTGCTTGGTAAATTCAGGGATCAGTGTGTTATGTGGCTAATTCAAGACAACATAGATTCCCTCTGGGCTGGTATGGTTCACCCCAGACGTATGTGACCTAACTAGAGCTGTCAGCTGCTTCCACAGCATAATCTTACACTGCGCAGCCCTGCATCAGCCAGACCCGCAAGCAACCACCACCGAAACTAAATATATCCCATGAACATCCCATTATTACATACAACAAATCAAGAAAATATTCCAAATCCATCAATCAACTTACAGCCTATTTCTGACATAGAAAAACGCATCAGTATTGCTTTTTCATAAAGGCATTACTGAGATAACTTAGATGCTCTTCACAGAGCACAGGCCTTAAGTTGAAAATCATTAATACAAGGTAACGTACATCTTTGTAGCACTGGCACTATTCAGCTTTATTTGCTGACTGTTTTTGGTCACCTGCTTGTGTCCACAAGCTCTTCATTTATACTAAAGCATCCTTGAGAACTTGTGCTTTGTTCACTGATGACTTAAAAGCAATGATTTTCATTGGGAGGCAAAGAAACCATCAGGTTCTGCACAGATTCAGTAAACCTCAAAAAAACCCCAACATTTAGCGTAGCACAGAAATCCTCAAATCATTCCAGCCTCCCTTGGCTGCACTGATAAGAAAGAAAAAGCATCCTACATTGTTTTGTAGCACATATTCATGAAGACTTGGCATTTAACAGCAACGCCAAATTGTCTTGCCCTTAGTACTGCCTAAAAGTCTGTAGTACCCAAAGGAGCCGAGTCTCCACGGGCACTGACTTCCCAGAAGAAAGTCAGAGCATCTGCACAGCTGTTTAACATTTAATTTCTCATCCTGCAGTTATCAGCAATGGAAAAAAGTAACTAGTACTTCAAGAACAACAACAGAGAGAACAATTCAAACATTATTTCAAATAGGTACGTTAGAAACAGCCAATATGCAGTTAAAAAAACAAACAAGAACATGCTGCTTTTCAATAAGAGGACAAAAGCAAAAGATTAGAAGTAATAGGCTGTTTTTCTTTTATGTTCTCTTTCTCTTTTTAGCTATGGTATTTCATGCTCTCAATAAGGGAGGAAAAAACCCCAATCAACAGGGAGAAGGTAAGAAAAATACCAGACACATGGGGATTGAAGGGGGGAAATATCAAACATTACAGTGGGAGATCCAAGGTACAATGAAAACATTAAACTTTAAAAGTCTATCATTGCATATGTTCTGTAGGGCAGTTTTATAGAATGAGTGTCAATGACAGAATAAAACTACAGCCCAGATTCTTCTCCTCCTCTGTATAACCGCCAGCCATTTTAATGCAAAGGATATTCTGTATTCATTTAGTTCTTTCAGCTCTTCTTCTCTTCGTTGCTTTTCTAGTAGCTCTTGCTGCCGAGAAACCTCATCAAGGAAATGCGTCTCATCTTCATCTAAGCCTCTTACCATATTTTCTGAATAAAGGAAAAGAATGCATATTGGTAAGCTAAAACCACTTAGGGAGCAGCCATTTATTTTGCATTGCTTTGCCATTCTCTTAGAACACTTTCCGATGATTTCAAACTGCACATAAACGTAGGCAAGTATCCACATCTCACACATGACATTTCTAATACTTCTAATACTGTTCTACTGAGGTAGAACAATTTGCACGAAGTCACTGCGAATGCAGGCAGTAGAGTCCTGGGTGGTTGAATGAATCGTGTACTCCAGCAGTCACGCTGCTGTGCCAAGTAAAGGGCACAAAGCAAAACCCACAAGCTACCTGCTGGCTTCTGTAATTAAGGAGTAAAAATACTTCCCGGTTAATGATACTTAACAAGCTAAAACTCTTACACACTCAAGCACACAAACTACAACAAACTAACACAGTTTGAACACAACACTATTACTACAGAGAAAGGCAAGACACAATTCACAGGAAGCCATGAAATACTATTGACCTTGCTGATACAGTCAAGGAAAATCGACCGAGTTTTCACACAAGCAGCCCTTTGCAGTTCTGAAATGCCATTTGGAACAGGTTACACAAAACAAGGAATAACCACGTTAAGCAATGATATATTTGCTGTTTTGGTTTCAGACACGGAGTTTAAGCCTGTCTCCTCAGAATCTTTCTTAAATCAAGCAATAACTGGAAAAAACACATTACTTCTCCCATAAATCTTGCCTCAAAATAGGAAGTACATTTTCTTAAAGCAAACAATTAGTAACTTAACCGAGATTAGTATCTGTTTAAAAAAAAGAAAAGTACAAGCAAAACAATTCCTAACTTCCAAATAAAAATAAATTCTTTCTGAACATGCTACCCTAGTTTAAAGAAAGTATGTGCTAGTGCAGTAGGAAAGTTCTTTATTTTCTGTTCTGCAAATGTTCAACATCTCTCAATGAAATGATTTAGTTAGAAAGTTAATAAAAAAATACTTTTTAGAAAGACCACATCTTGCTGTTTGTAGTCAGCCTGAGAAATCTTAACCCAAACATCACCTTTAGTCTTCATTAGAATTTAATTCCATAGGAGGATTTTTAGGCTTTTACCTGAGGTCGCCTTTTTCTTTTTTCACCCACATAGTCAAGTCCTACTCACTTCAATGGCAAGCCAAGAAATCCATTTACACTGATAATTGGCAAGCTTCTGTCTTTGACAGAAGAGCTCTACAAATCAATTATTCTTTGAGGCTACTTTTTAAAGGCTGAGCTCTGCTCTTTCCAAGTATCAGAACGCAGAGCTCATTCGTAAATCTTTAAACAGTAACTTGCAGCATTCACTACTGCTGATGGCCCCTTCAAACAGACAGCAGAAGTAGTGAAACTCCTGACATTTTCTGAAGCAAGTGACATGAATTAATTTCATTTTCTGCTTGCCTGATGTGCAAACGAAGAGAAGCAGCCACAGAGATCCTTATAGCTGACATGATTCCCTACTAAACAGTCTGCAGCAGGTTTTGTTCTCCAGGTTAGCAGGTATCTCTTATTCTGCAAGGGTTGCCTCAAAATCAGCAGCTGGTTTACTTCTCAGTTACCCCCTCTCAGGGATGCTTCTCATTCCAGCACTTGGTTTACAGGTTTCCTCAACCAAAGGGAAGACATTGCAGATCTAACATAACTCAGCAAGGGAAACAATTAATTTAGACAGTATTTATAGGCCTTTCCTATCTAGGTTGATAGTGGTCAGTTTTCTGGTGGCTACTTGGACAAGAATTGCTTAGTCACATCACCAGAGGTGATTTGGATCAAAAGTGTACTGAAGTAAACCGGAAGCTCTCCAGCTGGAAAGACTCCTGTAGGTACACTTGGAGATTTCAATGCATTAAGCTCTGGAGCCCTCAGCACAGGAAAGACACAAAGCTGTTGGAGTGAGTACAGAGGCGGCCACAAAAAGGATCAGGGGGATGGAACAGCTCTGCTGTGAGGACAGCCTGAGAAGTTGGGGGTGTTCACCCTAGAGAAAGAAGGCTCTGGGGAGACCTTATTGCAGCCTGCCAGTACTCCAAGGGGGCTCAGAAGAAAGATGGGGACAGACAGAGCAGGGCCTGTTGCAATAGCACAAGAGGTAATGGTTTTAAACTAAAAGAGATTTAGACTAGCTATAAGGAAGAAATTTTTCACAATAAGGGTGGTGAAACCCTGGCCCAGGTTGCCCAGAGAGGTGGTTGATGCCCCATCCCTGGCAAAATTGCAGGTCAGGTTGGACGGGGCTCTGACCAACCTGATCCAGTTGAAGATGTCCCTGCTCATGGCAGGGGCGTTGGACTACATGGCCTTTAAAAGGTCCCTTCCCACCCAAACTCTTCTATGATTAATGCTGCTATCTCTACTTTCCACTTTTCACTACCAAAAACACAAGCAAAACTTAAGAGACAGGAAATAACTTTCACTTATCCTTATTTTGGTTACCATAATTTTTCAGAAAGAAAATTTTATAAGTTGCATTTTGGAGAATGCTAGTATTATTTTTCATTTAAAATGCTGTAACGTTCTACTAAAATTATTTTACTTTGAAGACAGGCTTTCTTGCAATGCTGAATAACCTAGCAGAAAGAAGACCTGCTAGTCTGTGTACTGGTTTTTATCTACACAAAAAGCTTAGAGTAACTACGTTTATATGTTTATACAAACACAATTCTCAGCATTAAGAGTGTTTCTCCTCCCAAGTCCCACCATCAATTCTGACTGATCAGAATGACAGTGCAGTAAAGCAGAACTCATTTTCTACTCCTCAAAAATTGCCCACGGATAGAGAAAACACGAACATTTTAAGGCAAATTCAAGCACATTAGGGGACAAATCTTGCCACTAATGGCTAAACTGGGCTGAACTCTGATGAGGTAAACTAGTGGCCCACAGTCCATCCAACACTGATCTTTAGTTAGTCAGTTCCTCCCACTTACCTCTCCCAAAGAAACGTGGCTACTGGAATGATTCTAAAAGTGTCTACCACAAAACTGGAAAGGCAATCATGGTAATCAATAATGCACTCGATAGCATTTGCAAGGCCAGGGAGTCCTATTGAACAGAACTCAAAACTGTGCCTCAGTTAAAGGTAAAACATAGTTTTGTTGCATCCCAAGCACAAGAGAAATTCTAGACAGAAGGCAGTTATGCAAACTGGAGCTTAAAGAACACAATAGTTTGAGGGTAAGGCTTCCAGCTAAAGAACCAAAATCAATCAGAATCCACCTTAAAATGGAGTCCCACAGTATCATCCTCACTTCTCTTTAGATAGAGCCAATAGCTCCCTTTTTCCCAAAATGGTTGACTAATAATTTTCTAGTTCTCATTATCATCTATACAGGTGATAAAATACAAATAATTTTTCCATAAAACCAGAAATACCAACATCAGTAAAAATTAGGTTTCCATTTCATTAGAAGAGTTAAATATCTATTTTGAATCAACTCCTGTATGTTTACTTCTTCCAAATAGTAATCCTGAGTCTCAAATCACTTTTGCGTCAACTAATTACAGCTTGGAAATGTAACAGCTGCTGGAACAGGATTTTGTTTTACTGATTCAAATAGGAGGGTCTTGTGTTAAAGCATGAGTTCAAGCGTCACAAAACCATGTTATATTTCCACTTTTCCATGGAGTGCTATCAGAGGGTTTTTTTTTTTTATTTATTTAATGTGCAAAATAAGCCTATACAGGAATGCAGCTTCAAAACTGCAAGCAACTTTTGAGTTTCACACGTGTGCGGTGCTGTCTTGGTGCCCAGAACAATGTCATCGGCAGGAACATCTACCACCCTTGAAAAAGACAAAATTTCAGTAATACTTTTCTGAAGCCTCTCTCTCTCTGAGAGAGACAAGACACCCAGATATGTCCCTTAATGAGATGTTGTATACAGCTGTTGCACACAATACAGGCAGTCTGATGAGTTTCAGTTCAAAATAGTAACTGCTGGTGCTTACTGAATTTAAATTGCTCCTCAAACTCCTGCTGCTTCTTTTCTCTCTGTTCCTGAAGTCTTTCATACAACGAACGTGGGTCATACGCCTCCTCAGGGCATTCTGAAAGGAAGGAACAAATCAGGAAATGAGACTGTATGTTAAAAACACTAAATCACCAACAGTGCTTAGTTCCTTCAAGTAAAAACCTTTTGAACTTGTAGAATACAAGCTATTACCTTTTATATCTGTTTCGCACAGAAGTGAAATATTTTCCAGTCTCTTTCCTATAATTATTAAAATCTATCCCATACCTTCTGGATCCTCAGGTTTTCGAACCTTTTCCCATTCCTCTTGCCTTCTCTTTCGCCGCTCCTCTAGCTCCGATTCTGACACAAACCTCTTGTTAATCACAAGGTCAGCAGTACCATCTCCCCCATCCATTGTGGGACAGCCTGCCCTAAAAACACAATATGAAAGACATCAGGGGCCTGATTTCCCTTGTCAGTGCATGAGACATTACTACACATCCTGAAAAACAGACCCACTGTGCTTATAGTAATGTCAGTTCTCTACAAACCACTACATAGTAAGTACTGATCGAGATACCTACTCACTACCCAACTGCTAAGACTTACTACTACACTTTACTCTTTTTCATAATTATCTCTTCCCTGTAAGTTGTCTGCCTCAGTCTGCTTTTCTAAATCACATTTGAATGGAATTTCCCCACCCCACTTTGGATTTACCTTGCTTAAATAAGTATCAAAAATAAATAAAAATAAAGGAAGAAACACACACCTATACTCACATCCTTTTATTTCAGTTCCTACACCTCTTTGCTCTGGAGAAAGGGTTTGACACTTTTGAGTCTGCCCTCACTTTACCTAATTTCTTTCCACTGAGCCTGTGAAAACTCGAGAAAGCTTGCCTGTTTTCAATGATTTGAATACATATAAGTGATTAACAGTGAGATTTCATAAATTAGCAGCTAATCTCTCTAACCTTCAAAAGCATTCTGCACTTCTTTGCAGCTCTGGGGAGAGCTGGTCTTGGAGAGACTATGCGGGGTGGGTGTCTATCGGGTTTTGCAGAGTTCGAGAGGTAAGTGAAAGAGGGAATTCCCTTGGGCTAAAATGGGGCTGGGATTAGAAACCAGAAGCAGCACTACTGACCAAGTGAGCACAGCCCCTTCCCAATCAGTACACCCGCCCTCTGCTTCAAGAGATCCTAATACTTGAGTACTGGCCAGGTATCTATTTCAGTATGAGGTGCAGGGTGGAAATGCTCCAAGGAGTTACCCTAAGAAGGAAACTCATGGTCTCTTGCCACCTGTAGGCCCAGGATGAAACAAACTGCTTGTGCAAGTCCTAACTGGCTCCTCTAAAGATTTATTCTACCAGCTCCATGCTATAGAATGAAGCATTCATGCCTATTTTTGTTTCTTACATCAAGCCCGTACAGGCAAGTACAACGTAAACACAACATAAGCACAGCTGTTCATTTAAAGTCATGCTAACCTCACACTTTTTTCTAGTTTATTTCCTTGGTATAACTTCATCACGTACTCCAAGGACTACAGATGATTTCGCCCTGCACTGTCAAATATTATTCATTTAGGATCTCACCCTGCCTGCACTTCAGTGCTAGAAGCGAACCCAGAACACCTACTCTTCCAGGGAAGGAGGGATGCAGTAACCCAAATAATGGAAGGAACCAGTTTATCATCCTTCCTTCGTACCACAAGGAACCACTCCTGCAGGAAGCAGACTCCTGAAATTCTTACAAAAACTGACACTTTTGTGGAGTATTGTTTGTAATACAAATGACAAGTTGAGGTCTCGGGAGAAATCCAGGTTAGAGCACAACACAAATATTTGGTACAGCAGGATGCATTCTTAAGGTGGGAATTATCAAAAGATTACAAGACAAAAGGATTTTCTTAAGAAGTGGGCTGGTGATTTTCTCTTTTCTTCACTTTTCTTTCTTTTTTGTTTGTTTGTTTTTTAACAAAAAAAAAAAAACACCCTCAGACAAGCCCATTTTTGAGAAAGTATGGAACATCTGCTCTTTGAGTGTCGTTTCTGAAGCTGGCTCAAGCTGGAAAACTATAGAGAAGATGAAGATTGACTCTCCCTCCTGAATACAGGTCCTAATCACTAGGCCAGCTTTCCTGCCCAAGCGCTGTATAAACAAGATAACCTGGTTCTCCACTTGTGTCATCTCGACCTGTTCATTTAGAGACAAAAGGAAAAGTTCCGATACAATGGTGACAAAGTCATTAAAAACAAACTGAAAGAGAGGAATTCAGCAAAGGCACAGTATCATCTGGGGACTAAAGCCTTCAGCAACCTGCCTTCTGGTTCACCCAGTCCACTTGGACAATATATTTTAAGATACCTTAAGTAGATTAAGGTTTAATTACATCTTGACATACTACTATGGTGTTTTCACTACAATCCTGGAAACTGGTGTCTGATCAAACACATTTCAGCAAATGACAACTTCACTGACAACCACATCCTGGGGCACAAGGGTGTGGAGAAAAATCAAAAATCAAGCAGCATCACGGTTAAGCACACTTACAAAGTTTGCTAATCTTGCTGCATCCTTTGCCTTCCTCAGTCTCAAACATATACAAAATCTTCCAGACCAGGCAAAACACAACATGTTTGGAAACTGTGCCCAATAATCTTTTTTTTTTTTTTTCTGGTGACTATTCCAGTGAGTGATATGCTGTCATTATAAATGAGGAAAGTTTATGTCACAGCTGTAAACTGCACCTTTTGATACTACCAGCTGGTAACATGCTCAGGATTAAAAAAAACCACAACACTTCACAGCTCGTGCCATCACCTAGGCTGGAACAGATCTAGAGCAGAGACAATGTCTTGGGTACCCGAGTGCAGCTTCCAGGGCATTCAGACCTCCGTTAAATAACGGGCCCCTCTACCCATCGCTGCACGAAACTTGGGCTGTGCTCCCTGCACCTCAGCAGCACATTAAATAAAGTGCTGTGCACCGAGCCCGGCGGCACCCTGGAGCCGGACGTGAAGTCGCTCCCCACCATGGTGCGGTCAGCCTG